TGTTTTCTCACTTTCCTTCTCTCTCTCTCTCTTTGTTGCTCTCTGGTCAAATAAAAAAATAAGTAACAATGAGTGAAATTAAATAAAGTAATTCTGAAAAAAAAAAAAGATAGGTATTGCAAATAATGTGTGATTCTATATCTAATTAGGGTTCATTCTTTGGAATTAAAAGAAAATTTTTTCCTTTCTTTTATTGGTGTGTATGCTTACCAGAGAGAGAAAACATCCCCAGTGGGACATGATCACACCCTGGTTCTTTTTCCCCAATATTTTAATCCTGTCAGGATTTTCAGCACACATGCACATACAAATGATGTGTTTTTCAAGCTACCAGGGCTGGGACTCAGACAGTGGTCAACCATGTGGGGATCATGCCACATGCATAGCCCTTAATCATTGTACAACCAGCCGGCCCATAAAAGGAATTTATTTAAAGATATTTATACTTTCAGGGTTTTTTTTTTCTTGTGGTTGGTCTTTAGAGCATTTGTTTCTTCTCATGGTCTCCATTAGATTAATAAATGAGGTAATGATGATAGGAACTAAGATTGATTTTTTTTTTTAGGGGCATGTGTGCAGCAGATAGAGAATGAGCACCCCACACTCCCATGGGATCAAGGGATGTGCATTTGATGTGTTTTTAAGCCACTGAAGCTGGGTCTCAAACTCTAGTTGTCCATGTGGGATCTAGCTTCCTCTGAGCAGGTTGTAACCACTGCACTTTAAGGCTGGCCCAGGAAATGAGGTTTACTGAATACTTTCTAAAGTATTTCAGGTGTATTATATCATACTTAGTCTCCTTCATTTGGAACCCTGTTATCTAAACAAGAACAATCTGCTAGAGGGCCTGTAAGCTTTCTAAAAAAACACAGAGGGTGGGGGAGAAAGCACTCCCAATGGGCTTGTATGGTCATGCTGTAATCCCTTCTCTACTTCTCCCTCCTCTCAGGAGTAGGCACTCGCATGCGCGCACACACACACACACACACACACGTTGCGTGTGTTTTTTTATTTTTTATTTTCATTGGATTTAATAAGCATAATTAAAAAATCAGGGCCAGCAGGTGGCATTGGTGGTTAAGGGAACTGAACTCCCACATGGCTGACCATGGTTTGAGTCCAGGACCTGGTAGCTTGCTTTCTCACTCCCTCCCACCCCTGCACCAAATTGCAAGTAAATAAAATAACTTTTTTAAAATCAATATGCTGCCTAGTCAGGTTATTTTCAGTTTCTTATATAATTTTTTGTTTGACATACCTATGGTGTAAGCAAATAAGTTAATATATTCATGAGCAGTAAACTAAGTTAAATATATCTTATTTTTAAAAACTCAGCATATTTTCTTTTTTTTTTTTAAGTTATTTAACTTTATTATTATTATTATTATTATTATTGTATTGATTCATGTGAGGAGTAGAGAGAGAGAAAGCAAGCTGCCAGGTCCAGGACTTGATTTGCCAGTGGCCATGTGGGTGTCCAGCACCCTAAGCAACCACGCCAGCAGGCCTGCTGGCCCCAAAAACTCTCAGCATGTTTTTTTACCAAGTTACTTATTTTATAAGACTTTGCTAATTCTTCCCCCCTCCCCCCATTTTAGGGCTGTGGTTCATAGGTTTCATTGAGAACAGGTGGCATGTACCTTTCCCCCATTTTTGCTCTTTGAACTTGGCCTGTATGTCTTACTTTAGCTAGTTGTTTTCATTGGGAAAAAGCCTTAATCTTTTCAGGAGTCACTTTAAACTGTGTGCTGTATTTAATGGAAGAATCACAGAAAGTAAACCTTTTATATACTTGGTGGCACCAAATTCATTGGTTTACCTGGTTTATTCTTATACTTTCTTTTAAAGACCTACTTCAGAGACCAGCAGATGGCGTAATGGTTACGTCACTGGACTCTAACGTAGTTGGACTACGAAACCCGGCAGCTTAAAACTCATGCTGGGTGCATGTGTGTGCGTGCCCAAGATCCCAAGAAGAGAATGGATGAGAAAGGATTGCAATGTGGCCATCCCCCGTGGGGATGATTTCTCGCTTTCTGTCTCTGATGAGTGCATGCACCCTATAACAAAAATCCCTTTCTAAAAAATAAAGAAGACCTACTTCAGATTTAAGTGATCCCAAGTTTATGGTTACTTGGTTGGCATGCAGTTTATTTCCATAGCACTGTATACATAGATATATGATCATTTATTGCTGTAATCATTCACATGCCTTTCTATACTGATATCAAGCAAGCATTGGTATTTCTATTTTATAAGTAGGTTCTCATGTTTATGGAAGAAGTTAAGAGTATAGGGTACATGTAAAGAGACCTTTTAGTGTGTTATCAGTTCTATTAATATTTTCAATGGATATTTTTATTTATAAGAAACGCATAGTGGTATTTTATTCTGTCCATATGAGGAAGGGGAGTGTTGTATGACATTCTAGTGCCACCTATTAGAATGGCTTCAGAAGCTTCTGAAAGTGCCTTAAGAATGTTAAACTCATTTTATCATTGGCTGTTAGTGTTGGTGTTGTTATGTAAACAATTTTTTTACTCCTAAAAGTACTATTAATACTTACCAACATATATAGTATTAATAATTATCTATAGTTTTACCTATCTTTCTGAAGAAAATTGGCAAAAACATGCAGTATAAGTCTGTTAAAGGTATTTGTAACAGCAGAAAAATACTGAGTTTTGGTGTGGGAAATAATTTTATTAGGTTGTTGGGGAAAGTCATGGCATATTTTTAAATAGAAAAATACATTATGACTTCCCAGCGACCTAATAGTTGAAAGAAAAGGCATAGCTAGGCAATATTTATTGAAATGGTTGTCACTTAAGTACTATTTGAATATTCAAACTCTTAGTGCTATATTGCATGTTTTGAATAATGTATAAACTTTGTTTTAACTATAGTACCAGAATGCAGTGATAAATGAAGAAATGCTTGGTTGTGTGTTGTGTGAGTTTAAGATTTGGAAAGCAGTGAACTAGAAAGGGGGGCGCTTAAGTGAAGTGCAGGCAGACCACTAATACTCTGAAATCCATATGGTTCTGTATTTCAGGTATATGTATGTGCAAACAAAATATAGACTGAGTGTAATATATGTCACAAATCCTGTCCTTAGGAAGCTTTTACACAAATATGAGAAATACAGAGTTGAGGTGCTGTTGTTGGTTGTTACATATGCAGCTTGAGAAGATACCTGAGGCTTTTTAATGGAGTTACGTTGTGTGTGTTAGCTATGTATATCTAGTTATGGTAGGATAAAAATAATGGGTAAGCTTATTGTTTCATTATTAGTAATGCCATTGGTGTGCTTTCTACTTCTCTTTTCTAGTTTAAAATGTTCTAGCTTTGATAGTGCGCTTCTGGGTAGATTTTCAGAAGCAAGAAAGAGAGTATTTTTTGTCAGAAACTCAAAGAAACTTTCTATAGCAGCCAAGAACATCAAAGAAATTCTGTATTTCCAGTTACTTCTAAATATATGGTACAAATATTTTACAATTTATTTCATGCCCTGTCTTGGCAGAAAAATGATTTTTCTCACTTTTAGGTTTGGATGCCACTTGAGAAAAATTTGATTCTTGGACTGTCAAATAACTAAAATGTTTGTTTTCATATGAATAATATTGATTTTAAATGTTTTCTAAGTTTGTTCTAAGTCTTATACTAACTTTTATAAGAATATAAGAATAGTATTGATGTTGGGAACCAGCAGTTAGCGTAATGACTATGTCGCTGGACTCCCATGTAGTCAACCGCGGTTCGTGTCCCGGACCCAGTGGCTTAAAACTCACGCCGGGCGCGTGTGCGTGCGTGCCCAAGATCCCGAGAGGAGAATGGAGGAGAAGGGATTGCGGCGTGACCATCCCCCCTGGGGGGTGATTTCTCGCTTTCTGTCTCTATGTCTCTCTCTGTCTGTCTGGCGAGCGCACGCGCCCTACAGTTTAAATCTCTCCAAAAAAAAAAAAAAAAAGAATAGTATTGATGTTACGATTATGAAAAAAGCAAGTTGTTAGTACATGTGGTACTTGAAGTTGGAAAAGAGTTTGAGTCCTAGCACTGTTACTCAATAGCTGCTTTACCTTGTGTGAAAAAATATGTTAAACTTTATATAAAAAGTAAAAAACTTTGTGAATGTTAACTATTAATTTGAGGCTTTGTCAAAAATTTCCTATTAATTTGAGGCTTTGTAATTCTCTTCATTAGGGGAATAAACAGATTTATATCACAAAAACGGCAATGTGAAGATTTATGTTTGTATTTTTGACCTACATTTTTTTTTAACCTAATGCTAATACCTTTGCTGCTCAGTTTGCATTTCTGATGAATATTACTGATATGAGCTCAAAACTTTTTTATGTTTTATAAAATGATTTTATTTCCAACTTATGTCAACCTTGTATTTGCTGTGATTAAGTGAAAATTGAAATGTGGTGGAAGTATTTGGTAAGGTTAATACGGTTCTTAGGAAAATTGTGTGTGTGTGTGTGTATTTTAAGTTTGTATATTTTAAACATGGAGGTTTTATATGAAATTAATAATGGAGCAAAACCATATTTGAAATACTTTTTCATTGGACTCATGTCTCAGTCTAATAACAGAAACATTTGTAGAGTTGTTCAAAACAGCGTGAAGAAGTCTGTATAGAAGAATGGTTGAAGAAAAGTTTCTGTATTTAAATAAACTCTAACGTGATTATGTGTTGCTTCTCTTGTAAACCTAAAGTTGAAGTATCACCATTTAGAATATTATATTAAAATTGTTTTATCAGTCAGTTTTGAAGCTTTCTGCTAATTTTAGATGTTTCTTTTTACTGCTTCTTGAAGTAAAGGGGAAAGGATATTTTTGTCTAAAAGGACAGGTGTGCTTATTATTGTCTATATTTAAATTATTTATCCACTCATATCCCTGTTGTAGAATTTTTGTAACCAGCAAAAGATATAATCTTCCTAATTCTCTCGACAATTAATAACCTCAAACTATAAAATTACATTCTTTTGCAGTATCCCTTTTACTATACAGCGACTGTGTGAATTGCTAACAGATCCAAGGAGAAACTATACAGGAACAGACAAATTTCTCAGAGGAGTAGAAAAGGTAATTTTTTTAATTATTAGGATTATAGTAGACTGTAGCCTGGGGTTGGCAAGTGGCATGGTGGTTAAGGCGCTGGACTCCCACATGGCCAACCGTGATTTGAGTCCTGGACCTGGCAGCATGCTTTCACATCCCCCGAATCAGATAGAAAAACATAATAATAATGAATAAAAGTAAGTAAAAATAATTAAAAACACATACATTAAAAAAAAAAAAAAAACTAGCCTAATAGATATCAGAAAAGAGCATTGAGTTAGATCTATTTCAGGTGCCTTTTCTTGAAATAGGTTTTCTAGCATACATTGAGTTTTCCCAAATTATATTCTGTGTTTCAAAAAGAGATTTAATAGAAAGGGCTGGAGGCAGGCTTACACCTTATTATTACTGTCTCTTAGTTCATCAACACATGAAATGTTTGAGAAGTTATGCAGTTGATGTTTTAGCTAAAAGGAGTATTTTCCAAATGTATTTAATATGTTTAATTGAACCTTTTCCCCCCTCAATTCAGAACGATTGCCAAAGAGCAAGATACTGAGATGGTTCATTAGTACTTATATTTCAGGTCAGGTTCTTTCAATAATTAATTTTGGGGGATATTTGGATGGAAGATGCAATATGTCAGTCAGTAGTCACACCAGGGATCTTGTCTTCAAATCAGGGCTTTAAGTGCTTCATAGTTATGTGACCATGGACCAGTTACTTAACCTAAAAGTCTCAGTATCCTTCTCTGTAAAATGTATATAATAGGGCTTGGAAGTGAGTTAAAGGCAAAGCATTTACTCTGACTTATAGTAAACTTTCAGTGAATGTTGATTAATAAAAAAGTTATTATCAGGAAGATTATAAGTATATTACAAAAAATGTTGGAAGTGGGACCAGCAGTTAGCGTAATGGCTATGTCGCTGGACTCTCCCACATAGTCAACCGCGGTTCAAGTCCCACACTCGGTGACTTAAACTCACGCCGGGTGCGTGTGTGTGCGTGCCCAAGATCCTGAGAGGAGAATGGAGAAGAGATTACGGCGTGGCTATACCCCCAGGGAGTGATTTCTCACTTTCTGTCTGTCTGGTGAACGCGCGTGCCCTATAGCAGAAACCTCTCCAAAAAAAAGAAAAAAAAAAATGTTGGAAGTCATTTTTCCTTGGGGTATATGATGGATAGAGTTGTTTTTGTTTTTGTTTTTTAAGAGAGATTTTTGCTATAGGGTGCATGCATTTTGCTAGAGAGACAGAAAGCAAGAAATCACCCCCAAGGAGGACGGCTACGCACGCCACAATCCCTTCTTCATTTTTCCTGCACACGTGCCAGGAATGTTTCAAGCCACTGGGTCTGGGACTCAAACTGTGATTGACTAGGTGGGAGTCCAGTGACAGAACCATTATACATATCAGTCGCTGGTTCCCAGTATTGCTTTATATAAGGAAAATCATTGCTCTTGGCCTAAGTAGTTCAATCTCTAAATCGCTTTGGGTTATTCCATCTAATATAAGACCCCAATTCCACTCTACTGTGATGTCAGGGCTCCAGGATAACTAGATCGGGGTTTACAAAAGGGGGGCGCTATAGGGGAAGGAATATTTTAGTAGGTATTCTGGTTTTTGTTCTGCATTACTTTTTAGTTTTTTTTGTTTTATCATTTTTCATCATTAGTTCCTTATTAGCAAAATTTGGAACTTAATCTACCAAGATGATTTTTAAATTAAAAATAAACAATTAAATTTTATGTTGTGCTTAACCCCCTCTTATTAAGTCACTGATTTTTGTTATTGCAGAATGTGATGGTTGTTAGCTGTGTTTATCCTTCTTCAGAGTAAGTACAGAGGTTTTTTTTATATATCTAGTGTATTTACTGTGTTCTGATTATTATTTCTAAAATATTCTTAAAATTGGTGGCATTTATTTTATGTATAATTAAGTATGATAGCATTTATAGATAAATACTGTGAGCCTGCCATCCATTCACCAAAGTAGAATATTACTAATAACATTACTTTCGTTTTTTTAGTAAAGAGATTTAGGTTAAACATACTGGTTATCTTCTGTGATTCTAATATTGTTGGATCTATGCACTGTTGTGGCACTCAGAGCCCTGCCATGTCATCCTGGATGCGTTTTCTGGGCATTTCTAGGGCATAGCTCCTAGGTTTAGAATAGCTTTTTAATGGCATTGTTCATGATAGAAGGCTGTCTAGTTGTCAAGATTTATATAGCAAAGTAAAAGCTCAGTTGAGGACATAGTTCCTTATCTTTGGCACTGTTGATACTGTGAGCCATAATGTTTGTTATATGTTGATATCCTGGGAATTACAGGAGGTTACTAGTTAGCATGATTTAGTAGTATTTCTCCCCCCAAATGTCTTTAGACATTGAAAATGTCCCCTGGACTTGTGAATGGAAGGGAGAGGAGCTTGTCTACTGTTAGGAACCGTTGGTTTAAAGTTAAGCTTCCTCTGGTTTTGTAGACAATAACAACGTTGAATTAGTTTTTAGAATTCTCTCAAGAGGTAAAGAGCTGGGATGGTGGTGCAATAATAAAAAGTGTTGCTTTGTGAGACTGCCCTCATTGGAAGGTTCCAGGTTCGTATTTGGAGACCTTGAGTGTGCTAGGCATATGCCCCAGGATCTGGGGTTGGCTGGGGTAGGGGTGGGTTACAGGGTCAAGACCCTCTCTGTCTCTTTGTCTCTGTTACTCATGGAAGAAATAAACTTAAAAAATATTTTTTCAAGATTACACCTGTGGGGACCAGCAGTTAGTGTAATGGCTATGTCGCTGGACTCCCATGTAGTCGACCGAGGTTTTCATCCCGGACCCGGTGGCCTAAAACTCATGCCAGGCGCGTGCCCAAGATCCCGAGAGGAGAAGGGATTGTGGTGTGGCCATCCCCCCCGGGGGGTGATTTCTCGCTTTCTGTCTCTGTCTGGCAAGCGCACGTGCCCTATAGCATAAACCTCTCAAAAAAAAAAAAAAAAAAAAGATTATACCTTAAAAGGTATGATATAGGACTAGCAGGTAGCATGGAAGTTAAGGTGCTGGATCCTGCATGGCCTACTTCGAGGTTCAAGTCCTGACCCGGCAGCTTGAAAAACACAGTGGGTATGTGTTTGTGTGTGTGTGCGTGTGTGCGTGTGTGTGTGCCCAAACTCCTAAGAGGAGAATGGAGGAGAAGGGATTGAGATGTGGCCATCCCTTCTGGGGGGTGATTTCTCACTTTCCCTCTTACTCTCTATCTCTTTCTCTTTCTCTCTCCAATGAGTGCATTCACCCTGTAGCAAACAGACAAAAAGTATGTTATGAAGCCAATGGTATGGTAAAGGGGCAGACTCTTCTTTTTTTAGAGAGATTTTTCCTATAGGGTGTGTGCACTTGCTGGAGAGACAGAGAGAGACAGAAAGTAGGAAATCATCCCTTGGGGCGGCGTGGCCACGCTGCAATCCCTTCTCCATTTTCCTCTCGGGGTCTTGGGCATGCATGCACATGTGCCTGGCATGAGTTTCAAGCCTGGTCTGGGACGCGAACCACGGTCAGCCATGTGGAAGTCCAGCCATGTAAGCACTACACCATTTGCTGATCCTGAAAAGGCAGATTTCTCATTTTTTGTTTTATGGTTTAATTTTTGTTCTAAAGCATAAACCTCTCAAAAAAAAAAAAAAAAAAAAGATTATACCTGTGTTGCTAAATAACATACTAAGATAAAATTATAATTTTTCTAGGCAGAAACACTATTAAAAAACACATGATTCAAAAGAATAGCTTTAGTGGCTGGCAGGTGACATGGTGGTAAAAGGAACTGGACTCCCGCATGGCCGATTGCAGCTTGAGTCCCAGACCTGGCGGCCTGCTTTGTCACTTTTCTCCTCTCTCTCTCTCTCTTGGTCTTTCCCTCTCTCGTCAAATTAAAATAAATAGTTAAATAAAATAATTCTTTCTAAAAAAGAATAGCTTTCTTTTATAAACTAAAACACATTTTGTTAATGAAAATGAATTATTTTGGGGGGAAATAGTACAAAGTCAAGTCACTGTCTGATACCAGATTCTTTTCTTATATTTATTGGGCATATTTATGTTAATTTTTATAGAAAGTTTCTTTAGGGTCTATAATATTGGGGTCTTTAAAAAAAACCTATAAACTCGTGGTTCTTATCAAAATCAAATAATTCAACCATCAAGTAACAGTGTATTTTCTTTTCTTCTAGGAAAAATAGTTCCAATAGTTTAAATCGAATGAATGGTGTTATGTTTCCTGGAAATTCACCAAGCTATACTGACAGGTGAGAGTATTGACCTTTTTTTAAGAATTATTTTTATTTAATTTTATTTATTTTTAAATTTTATTTTAATTTTACCAGAGAGATACAGAGAGGGGGTGAGGGGCAGTGAGAAAGCAAGCCACCAGGTCCGAGACTCTAACCATGGTCAACCATGTGGGAGTGTCCAGCACCTTAACCACCACGCCACCTGCTAATCCTGAAAATATTGATTTTTAGAGTTTGCGTTTTCCTTTTTGGGGGGGTCAATATACTTTTAGTTTTTTTGAGATAGGGAGGGAGGGAGGGAAGATGAGAAATCTACCCTCCCTCCACCTTGGGCAATGGCCATGCCACAATTACATTTCTTCCAGTCTCCTCTTGGGATTTTGGACACACATGCACCCAGCATAATTTACAGGTCACCAGGTCCTGGAATCAAACTGTGCCATAGGCCATGTGGAATCCAGCACCCCAACCTCCATGCCACCTTTGGTCCCTCAGTATACTTTTTGTTAATTAGGCATTTTATGGGAGATAAAAGGATATACTACATAAAATTAGTTGATGTGGGAAGGCATGGATATGAAAGAATTATAGCAAATACTTTGATGGTGTATTCATATAAACAGGCATGACTTTTAACCACATTGAGAATGATTTTTACTTATATTATAGGTCTAATATAAATGGGCCTGGAACACCCAGGCCACTTAATCGACCAAAGGTTTCTTTGTCAGCCCCCATGACAACTAATGGTTTGCCTGAGAGCACAGATAGCAAAGAGTCCAACTTACAGCAGAATGAAGAGAAAAATCACAGGTTTGTATATATTTTGTATTGAAAGACAAATGTTTTCATTGAAATAAATGTATGCTAATGATTTTCAACAGTTTTACTATTTATAATGTACTTTTCTGAAGGACAGATCAAGTAAGATTTAATGTGATTATAGGACCTGGCTTCTGTTTGCAGTTTTAGCATATACTGAAGGTGGACATAGGAAAAAAAAGACTTAAAACTGCCAATTTGCTAATTCAGGGAGCTTGTTTATATAGGGTCTTTAGTAATATAGTCATGGTACGTTTTATTTACTGTTTTTGAAAGTCACCTGAAAAGAGAAAAGCTCTTGATAAATTTGAAAATGTATTAGTTTCTCATAGACTGTAAGAGAACTTTTTTTTTTTTTAGAGAGAGAGTTTTGCTATAAGGGTGCATGCTCTCGCCAGAGAGACTAAAAGCGAGAAGTCAACCCCCGAAGGGATGGCCACATTGCAATCCCTTCTTCTCCATTCTCCTTTGGGATCTTGGACACACATGCACACGTGCCCCTGTTGGGTCCAGAACCTCAACCACAGTCAACTACATGGGAGTCCAGCAACACAGTCATTATGCCATCTGCTGGTCCTGAGAACTTTTTATATCATTTTTTAAAACTTCATTTATTTAATTTTGTCAGAGATGGAGAGAGAGAGTGAGAAAGTAAGCCTGTAGGTCTGGAACTTAAACCATGCTTTGCGGTGTGGTAGTCCAGTGCCCTTAACCACCATGTCACCTGCTGGCTGTGAACTTTTTATATCTTAAGGTTTCTGCAGCAAATTAAGGGGAAAGAGGATTAAATGAGTGCGAGGAATAAAGAGTACATCCGTATGAAAGACTTGTAGTTTTGTTATAGGATATTTTAACTTAAACTGCATAGAAAATTCATATGACTTACTGAGTCAGTCCTAATAGTAAATAGTCATCAAACAGATTAGGTTACCTTGAAATATTCTCTTATGTTTTTGTTGTTGTTGTTGTTCACATGTTGTGATTTAATTTTGACACTAAAATGTACAATTTAAACAATTATTAGACCTTAAAAATGAGAATATGTATGATGAGAAATTATTCCTACTAACGGCACTTTGAAAAAAACATTTACAGTGACTCTCCAGCATCTGAATCAGAGGTTTCCTCAGGGAGCCCTGTAAAAAATAAACATCCAGATGAAGATGCTGTGGAAGCTGAGGGGCATGAGGTAAAAAGACTCAGGTTTGACAAAGAAGGTGAAGTCAGAGAGACAGCCAGCCAAACAACTTCCAGTGAAATTTCTTCTGTTACTGTCGAAGAAACAGAAGCATCATCTTCCTCTCAGGACAAAGACAAAGAAAGTAGTTGTACCAGACAGCACTGTGCAGAAGAGGAGGAGGAAGAGGAAGAAGAGGAAGAAGAAGGTATTTGGAGACCATCTGTAAAAGGGTGTGGAGTAAGGAGCTCCTGAAAGTTTTGTTTTGTTTTTGAGTGAAAGAACTGAACATATAGGAACTCCTTTTATGCTGATGTTAGGCTTTTTTTCTCACCTAGATGTAGTTGCTGCCACAGGGGATGGGATTTGAACTGTAGAGTATCAGAGTTCATGAAACTTAACTGTGGAGGTATTTTGAGAATAAAATTTAACTATAACAACTTTGCTTATTTTTAGAGTCTTTTATGACATCAAGAGATATGAGCCCTGAAAGAAAAAATCAAGAAAAAGAATCTGATGATGCCTTAACTGTGAATGAAGAGACTTCTGAGGAGAATAATCAAATGGAGGAATCTGATCTGTCTCAAGCTGAGAAAGATTTACATTCTGCAGGTAGAGAAAATCCAGGTCCTGTAAGTAGTGGTTCTGACTGCCATGAAACAGAAGAAATAGTGGGATCCAACTCCAGTAAAACTGGAGAGGTTATATCAGAATCGTCGATGGATAATGACGAGGAAGCCACAGAAGTCACAGATGAACCAATGGAACAAGACTAACTATTGAGGAATATTTAGATGCAGTATTTTACATACAGTTCTGGTTTTACACTGTATAAAAACTTTTATGTAATAAAGTGGACCTTTAGTTTTACAAGAGAAGCAGGTTGTAAAATAAAGTACTTTATGGATAAATAAATCCTGAAAGAGTTGTACATGTAAGAACTGTGAATATCAGCTCCTGGGTCCTGCTTACTGCTTTTTTCTTTTTCTTTTTTTGTTTTCTTGTTGGGCATCTGGTCAAATCAGTGGTTTGTGTATAGATTTTTTTTTTTTTTTTAATTTAGGCCTAAATTTTTTAAACTGGAAGGTAATTATAATTTTGAAAAGCTTTTCATGAATATCACATTTAGTTTTTACATATGCAAGAAAGCTTTCTGTACTTCAAGAGTATCACACTTAGTTTTTACATATGTAAGAAAGCTTTCTGTCATGTCTCTGACAGCTCTAGCAGTTTTCATATTTTGGTCATAGTTTCAACATTTTAACATGTGAATTATAGGGTTTCATGCTGGTTTCCAGATTTTATTGTTTGACTATGTACAATGGAACTTTAAGTCATATATACATATATATATATATATATTATTCTAAGTGGGGAAATGTTATATTTTTCTGTTTCTATAAGAGATGAATACAGTGGATACTTTTTCTATTGGTAATGATTGAGTTCACCTCTTTCAGAAGACATTTTCTTTCTCTTCTGAGTAATTCAAATAAAATCTGGCCCTTGTGAAACCCTGGAAATCTTAAGTCTGTTGAAATACCAGGTTAAACACATTCCAAGAGATCTGTTAAAACTAAAATTCTTTTGTATACTTCTGAGGTGCCTGAGAAAAAGACTTCATTATTTATGAGAAAATGTGCTTTATCTTGGAAATTGTGTTCAAACATTAGCTTACCGTTTTGTAGAATGAATGCTTATGTAGCTGACATGAGACCATCTCAGAAGAACCAGACAGGTTCCTTGACCTTTTGCTTGCTTTTCTGAACATTGTGAATATTACACATTTCTTTCTAAATTATTCTTGAGTATGCAAATGTCATTGGTATGAAACACCACTGTACTGGAAGAATTAATATATTCCTTTAGTAATGTACCTGAGCTAAATGACTGACGCTTTAGGGGTGCATAGAAACCACCATAATTTGTATAACATTTTGAAGTGAATTAAATATTTTTGAACATGCTTCTTCGACAGCCAGTGTTATATTTTTCAGATCAACACAAAGCACAATGATTACTCTAAACCCAATATTTTCAAATTCACATATTTACAGTCATGCAAGCTGCAACTTCCCTGTCAAAATTACTGGCTGCCAAATTTATACCTGTTTCTTCAGCTGTACCTTTTGATATTTAGAATTTTTAAATTTCTGTAAAGTAGATTTTGTAGAATGTAATGTGTTCACTGCCTTTGTGAAGCGGTATATAATTGTATAATTTCTGTGTGTAAACTGAATGCTTGGGCTTTCAATACAGTATTCATATAAAGCAATAAATATTAATGTTATAAAATATTCGAGTACATTTTTATCAAAATATAAAAGAATCCCTTTTTTAGTTTCAGATACCTGAAGTACACAGATGAACTTATAAAACTGATGCAAACAATTACTGACACTGTAACGTATGCTTTTGGGTATGGGGGCAACCACACGTTTTACATTTTGACTACTTAAAATTACTATGATTAAAAATACCAGAAAAATTTGGCTTCATTTATGTTGTAGGATAATATACTACTGACTGATTTGACTGTCAGGTTTCCAGTAGGTAGATGATATATTTACAGATGTGTCTAATAGTTGAAATAAAAACTGAATATTGACTTACTGTACCCAAGAGGGGAAAAAAAATCAAACATTGTACATTTTTAAATTAATTTTTTTGAAAATGTTAAAATGAAGCAAATTTTAAATGTGACATTCATTTGTAGTGACCTATTACTTTATTTTATTGATGAATATTTTGCCAATAAGAACAGATTTTAAACATTTTAAGTTTAGAAATTTAGACATTTTCTTTAGAATAATTTATGAAATTATTGTCAATAAACCTATTCTTTAAGATCCTGTGACCTTTTGATATTTTTTATTTTAATTGTAGTGCCATAGGCCATTTGTAAACAAATCAGTTCACTTCTGTTGGTCATAAGTTGAAGATTTATCATCATGGCTTTGAGGTCTGTGGTTTTATTTGTAAACTTGCAATTGCTGTTTTTGCAAGGGCAAATGTATTTCTTTATTAAATAAAGTACAATAATGGTGAATGTACCAAAATGACATCATTTAACTCTATGAGAGATCTGCATTTTAATCTATAGTTTAATAGTTTTAATATTTATTAGATATTACGTTGATCATAGATCAAACTTGTTGCTGTTTATACAGATGATTGTAGGATGCTCATGGAATACCTTTCCTGGAATAGGTGGAATACTTCTGTAGTTTAATTGGGAGACCTTGTTCTGCTGGTTTTAGAATACTGATGGCCATTTGGAAGTAAATTCTGCAAGTATGCATACAGGTGCACTTAATACAGACATTGCTTAATGAAAATGACTATTCTAATAGTAACTGATTCATTTGTGAACTTTTAAAAGGTTACTTTTTTTAGGCACATTTTCTTTTTACACATCTAAACAGAGCCCTATTGAAAGATATAAATATAAAAGACCTCAGTGATTAAAGGTATTTCATTTTTTTAACCTTCAGCAGGTGAACAGATTGGTTTACCTGTTAAGTCTAGACTCTGAGCCAAACATGTAAAAACAAATTTGAAGATGCTAATGAGGAAAATATTTGGTTGTTGAGGAAGTCATGATGTGTTTTTGCATAGGAAACTATGTTAAGACTTTTCCCAACCGCCTAACATACATATAAAATATGCATTTTAGCACTTTTCCCTTTTAAAAGTGAAAAATTATCCTTGTACATTTTTGAAAAAATACATTTTTATAGTTTTAAAAATGTAGCAGAGAAAATCAATAGTCAAATTTGTCAAATTTTAAATACCGATTATTAGGTAAGTGTAATCCACTCTGGAGTTTGTCATAAATACACCTTTCAGAAGTGCAGCCAGAAGCAGAGAGGTGGCCACCAGGAAGCCATAGCTGTTCTTTGTCTTGGAATGAGTTACAGAAAGGGTAGAGCCCAGGTCTTGGGCCAGGAGGTGAGGCCTGTGGAGGCAGTGAGGGTCAAAGTATTTTGTTTTGCCGGTGTAGATAGGCATGTATTTATGCATTTTTGCATTTGTAAAATCAGCAATTTCACAAATAATGTAAATGTAATATACTAGTTTACTTATAAAAGGTACTTGAGCAGAACCTGAAGCTGCTACAATGTTTGATTATAAATAAATGTAACTTGTGAGGATGAAAATGCAACTTGTAGAACCAAAGGAAATAAAAATTTTGGATAGCATTTCAAATTGTCTTCCGAACAGGAATTCTTAAATTCATTGGTTTTGATAAAATGAAGGTCAATTCTCTCTTGAGATTTGTGCTAATCATAAAATGAATGCAAATACAGCTTGTAATTTCATATGGAATTATTAAAATTAGGTGTATTGGGTTATTGGCCTAATGAGAGTATTAGTATGTATTGGTTAGAATACATCTACTATTTCACATTTTAAAAATAATCAGTACACTTCAGAGTTTTCTTTTATTTCAACTTGGAGCTTAGATTACTTTGCCAAATAAATGTATTATTTTCATAATGCAATAAAATTTAAACTAGAAGAATTCCTTTGTGTGTGGAATGACTTTATTTGCCCTAATAGTTCACCCCTGCCTTGCCCTCATTGCCCTTGGTGTGTGAGGATCCATAGTTTTTTCTAATCAACAATGCTTTTATTACAGCTCTCTCTCTCTCTCTCTCTCTCTTTTTTTTTTTTTTTTTGAGAGATTTTTGCTATAGGGCATGTGCACTTGCCAGACAGACAGAAAGCGAGAAATCACCCCCCAGGGGGATGGCCACACCGCAATCCCTTCTCTTAAGAATTCTCAGGAGGATTTTGGGCGTGCATGTACATGTGCCTGGTGTGATATTCAAGTCACCAGGT